TCGCCTATCTTTTTTGAGAGAAAACATGACGGCAAAATTAGGACATGGGAAAAGGTCTCATTCTGTCTCTTTACTAAATGATCTCCGTCTAAAAATATATTCCTCACTAGAGAGATATTATTCTCAATTAGGCCCATAGGATAATTATTTTCCACTAATATATTTGTCAGCCGTTTCAACTCTTTAGTCAAATGTTTGCTATCCGATAGCCTCATACTTCTAAGAATTATTGACTTCAAAATTTCAACCTTAGTCTTGTAACTATGGTTGGAAAGAAAATTAAGCAAAGAACCAGCATATGTTGACTTCCTATAAACATCTCTTTCTAATCGTTTACTTTTTTATCTTTAATCATATTTGTTTCTCTAGCGTGTGTCGTTTTCTGCTTATTTTTGACTATTAACTTTAGGGGTTTTCCTTCTTTGTTCATATTCCACAGTCTCTAAACTATCGGTGGTCTTACGTTATTTTTATTTAAAGAATTCATTATCTAGCTATCGACTTCTTCATATGCGTTTTCCTCATCATATCCTTTAGTATCACATTGATCTTCACGATTGAATCCTTCCTTAGTATTTGATAAGTATTCTTGTCGCCTAGCTTACTTTCTATTTTCTCCGTGTATTTTTTCTTGTATATTACTACCATTGCTCCATCTCTATGATTATTTGGCTTGTCGTGTTTTCTCGTCAATTGGCTCCTTTGTATTAGCTCATGATGAGGCAGGATTGTCTGGATTATTTCCATCTTCATCTCTTGCCTGCTCTATTCTGGGCACAGTTAATGAACTACTTTATTATGCCTCCATCGATAAATCAGAGGAAACTTACGAGGTTGGGAGGAGCAAGCTATTTCAGATTTGGATTGACCTTTTCGCATCTTGGTCGGTGCGTTAGGGATACCTTGTGCAACGTACCTAGTCGTGCGTCCTTTCCCATAGTATTCGTGATTTCAAGCATCGGATCATGACTTTGTACATTTATAGGCGCTTCGCCTGCATCGTAGTCGGCATCCTAGGTAATAGTCGCTGTCGCTAGCACAGAATTTCAACATAGCAAAGTGGCAAGTGAACGTAATCTCCTCGACAACTTTTCTGTTCAACCTTTGTGGAATCACTTTTCGCTCCTAGTCTTTGTCCTTCCTTCTAGTGCTACATCCCTTTCATTCAACCTCACTTCATATGGCACATTTACCTATTCACACCATTCTGTGCTCTCGTTTTTTCAATTTCGCCTAAGGATATATCGCTACATGTGAATTTAGTGAAGTGTAATCACCTTCACCACCGGTTTAAATTTCGTTGGTAGGGCTTAAAATTAAGCTATTAAAATTTATTGACATTAGGTCTGTATTCAGACTGGATCCTAGTCGTATTCTCACTCCGGAGGATTTTCAAAAACTCCATTATATGAAGAAAAACTGCATTTCGAAGAATTCTTTAGTGATATATTGTGACTTGACTTTCCATTTAGAAGGAAAAATTGGTTGGAGGGAGTTCGTAATGGGATCTCATACAAACCGAAGGAGGATTACCGTGCTGTTTTGTGCGAAGAAATTCTCGGCTCACCGCTCGCACGACCGATGAACCTGTACCAATCTTTCGTCTGTACTGTGACAGACATAATCAGATTAAAAATCCATACTTCACAAGAATAGAGCAACAATATACAATAGCAGGAAGAAGTTGGCTAATTTTTGAACCCATAGACCTTTACAAGTGGTTTTGCCTTCTTATAATCTCTTCTGGGTGCGCGGTTTCCCAGAGGATGCTAGGAGTGACATTGAATTATAAATGGTCCCTTTACTTGTTGCTCATGTAGAAGCATCATATAAGAATATGACAATCAATGCTAGTATAAGTTTAAGGTAAATGGTATTGGAGGCATACAAAAGAAGAGAAATAGTAGTTCTGGATTGGAAAATTTTACAGGCATTAGACTACAAAACAAAATATAACACTATAATTATGGTCCTGACAGAAGGCCTTGAGGCCAGACCTATGGCCTTTCTGCAATAATGTGTAATGTGCAATGTGTGTGTTTAATCAGAATTAGGAAAGAGTTGCATAGCAGATAGAGTATATTTGACCCTTTAGCTAAACAATTCAGAAAACGCTGACAGGTCAACTCAATTCGTAATTAGTTTTTTTCATGAGACCTAATATTTTTATTATTTAAGTCATCCTGGATTTGAGAATGCCTATTTCTACTATTTTAACCCTTTTTGAGTTGTATTCCAATAAATATTGACTCCAAATCCAGATAAAATTAAATAATATAATAATATAATATAATAATAATTGTCATTTATTCAGACCAGGACAGCCACTTCCACTCTATTGTCTTGCGCGTCACCCTGGGCAGTCTCATCTGCTCGCTGTCGGCGGCTCAGCCACTGATGCACCTCTCTCCACTTCTATCTCCGGGTTGACAGATCTGCAAGCAGACTCAAAAGACGCTCGTGGTCGCGCATCATGTCAAGGTGACAAAGACTGCTCAGACGGTGGAACTACTGGCAATTCTTCTGCCACTGCATACATCTGGGATTTACGCGCCGATCGCTATCCTCTAACCGAACTAGCTTGTCCGGGCCGAGGTGTCTGGGAGGCCATGTTTCATCCTACATCACCGAAATACCTCTGTTTAGCTACAGAGACAGCCGGACTCCTGGGCATCTGTTCATCTGATAGAAATGGTGAGAAATCAGGCGCTATGATCTCAACTGTGATCGACGAAGTACTATTAATTATTTGGCTAGCTCTACAGGCCAGAAATTTTTAAAAAATTGTTTTAAAAATTATTACTTTATGCTAACGTAATTAATATATTTCGCTTTTATAAATATTTTATTCTCGATATTTTGCTATATATATGCCCTAGATATATCAATTATGTGTTGCCTAGATAGCTCTTTGAAATGATCGATCTTCAGAGGAGAGACTTAAACAAAAATATCTCCATTATTAATTTTTTTTAGTTATACCATAAGCAATCACGTTACCCTCTAGCCACATCTACATAAATCAGGATCCTATTAGCTACGAAATAATCTATTGTTGAAGACATAAGTACATCAAGTTTTAATAAAAGCACGTGGTTGTTCATCGGTAAGATATTCCTATAAAAATTATGAGAATTGCCTAACTTTATTAGATTTAATCGATGCATCTAGCGCATAGTAATATTGCTAGGTTCGTCTGTCTTTAAAATGACTGTTTTCCCCACCCTGAGATTGCTATGCCGTTCTACATGTTATGAGATACTCACAATTTCAAACCGTAGTTTACACAGGAGTAAAACGAGATTTGGGGATTTCTGGTAAAGTGGATAAATCATGCCTTCGATTTAATTTATCGTGGATAGAATCAATGTCAGTCCAAATTAGCGAAAGAAAGTTTGTTCCACAGGGATTCCTTGTTTACTATTGTTTAATTTAATTCTGAGTTAAAGTTTTTGATAAAAAAGGTCTATCCCATCAGATGGCGACTGCGGATTCATATTAGTCAGCTACCGTTTGCTTTTACTAAAACATTCACTGGATACTGGAGTGTTGTCTTGGACTTTTGCCTGCTGAATTGTGCAGAGAAAACCTCGGCTCACCGTTATACGACCATAATGACTCCGTGCTAAACTTTCGTCCGTCATGTGACGGACATCGTCAGAGACAGAAAAGATTATCCACCAAAACACTAAACTTAAAAAAATGACCAGCTGAGATCCTACTTACCTCTTATATCTTCACTTGTCAATCCTAACGAGGCATTCCATTCCTTCATTACCTTAATCAAAATAGGGTAAATGTATTTCATATAGCTGATTTACTGATAGTCTCGGAACTGCTTATAAAAATAATAATAAGTAATGTATTCGATTGTTTTAGCAAATATAACTTTGCTTCATCGACAATCCCACCAAAGAATGTGATATGGGAAATGCCTGACTTTCCTTGAAATTCACATCTTCACTGTGACCCAAGGGCGCTCATGGCAATGTAGCGGAGTGGTTAATGTGTCGAGCTTACATGCTGCACTGTCATGGCTGAATTCCCTCTGGGGATGTTGATAAGACCTAGCCTAGGTCGTAACTGCAGTCCACCCTAGATGAAATTTTGAGAAAACAGGGCTGTGTGAAATTCAATGGAAATATCGGCTCTACCCATATCAGTGTGGTAAAATTCTGCTACCAGTCCTTCATCACTTTAAACGATATAGGATGAACATATTTCATATGACTGATTTACTGGTAGTATCGAAACTCTGATTATAAAACGAAAAATTCCATGATTTAATTGGCTGCTTTATACTAGTCCTACATGCATGTAGGCGATCGAAAGTG